AACAGCATGTGTGTTACTGTTACATGAGAAACTATCTGTTCTGTAAGCCTTCACCTGAAGTACAAAAAATATTAAAAAAAAAAAAAAAAAGCAGAATGCAGAAAACTAATTAATAGATTCATATGTTTTAACTCAAAGAGTTGATAAAGGAATTAAATGAGAGAAATAATGCTAAAAAGCATAATTTCAATTATGATGAACTTAGTGCAACTCCTATATCCACTATGCATATATGTGTTCTTCAGAACTCTTTTAGTTTTGCCATTAATTCCCCCAGAAATTTTTCTCACACCTTTTAGAATTTGATTTAAATACGCACACATGCACCCTCTTAATCAGGATAGTGACGTGTTCTTAGGTAAGGTTCTCGTCAGTAGAAAGAAGCCATGTGAATTCTATTTTTAATATCAAACAAAAATGTAGATAATACCATAAAAATAACTTCTCCCCCTTGTGGCAAAAATTGAAAATACATTCTATTGGAGAATACTACAGTAAAACCTGAGAGGCTGCACTCGACGGGACTGCCTTATTTTTCCAGGTCTCGCAAGTTTTCCACCTTTGACAGGGTACAGTCTTACCACTTTTCTATTGCTCGGCTTAGCGGAAAATATTTGAGTTTTGCTTCTCTGACAAGTTTCCTTCTGCCTTAAACAGGTTCTGGCTTTCGCAGGTTTTACTGTAATATACAGGCACTTAGTATTACTCCTTGTAAAAAGTATTTCCACATACTTTACCCCCATATTATTCTCTAAACAGCATATAGTATTTACAAACAATATACTCAGATGTAATTTCACAGTTTTCTTTAGGTCAGCATCATCCAGATTCCATTGGACAACATTTTTTTATAGCAAAAAGTCACAGATTTAATAGAATTGCCACCACAAAGAGCCAGAGTTCAAAGGAAACAAAGTTACCCACAGTAAAAAGATTAAAATGACAGGCAGGTAAAAAGGGATATTCTCATTCAAAGGAACCTGCCTATTTAAAATTATAGGGCATTAGGAAGCCTCTCTATCCCTCAAAATTTAATCTAAAAAATTTGAAAGTCCACCATTGGAGATCAGTTTCTTGGAGGTGGTTCTGTCCAATCTTCAGGCTTGGTTTATTGAGATACACTGGAAAGGGTAAGACATTTTCTTTCCTTTAAGATTGCCAATGGTGAAGTCACTCATCTGAGCTATAAATGAAACTTTAATTTACTCATTCCACATTCCTACCCCCAACCTTAAACCTTCATATTTTTTACCTAGCCTCCTAGTAAGTTACTAGTTACTGATAATTCTATGGCTTACTGACCTTCTACTGATTATGAAGTAATTTAAGTGGTTTTTGAAGGTAAACTTAATTCGTTTCACACTTTTAAATTAAAAGTGGCTCAGCTGGATACTGTCTCTTAAACACAGTAATATAAATATTAGTATCTTCACTAAAATGAATTATTGACAATTTTAATGTATGTTGCACAGTACATATTAATATAGAAAAATACATGTTAGCGGCAGCATAATGTTGACCATATTCTAATCCATTCCAGCTGCTCAAATGTTAGGGCAAATAATTATATATTTGTAATGCATCACTGCTGTCTAGCACAAATTGATGCCTTCTGAATAAATGATTTTCCTTAGGTTGTTTGCTGTATGTGGCTTTGTATGGTGAGGCTGACTGCAACCTTCAAAAACCACTTCAAAAATGAGGAAGTATGTTTAATTATTTGTCTCCCTCCCCAAAAGTAGATTCTTAATCACAAGAACTAAAGTTTACTGGTACCTACCAAATAACAATGATAAAGTATATATGGCCTAGTTTAAAACTATAAATCTTGTTCAAGTGCAGGGTTATCAGACTAGCAGCTCCAAATCATCAATTAAAATTCTTATTCTCTAATGTTTCTCTCCCAACACACTTGAGGATTTTTTTTTCCCATAAATTTGGTAAGACAAATGTTTGATCAATGGTAGAAATAAGAGTTAAGGCAAGTTTAAAAAAACTTTAACATGCAATTTTTGATTACATGAAAATAACTACTGGTGTTAATATCACTGAGTACATTTTGCCCTACATTTTCACTTCAGCATTAGCCATTTAAAAATTACCAATGCACTAAATATTTAACAGAATTTCAAACTCATGGCATTTAAAATAGTCTGTTTTTGAAGGTACAAATACTGATACCCTCATTTCTTCCAAGGTTGTTATTTACGATGACATGGTACAAAATACTTGGACTCTTTCTATTCTGAAAATAATAAAACAGAAACAGTACTATGACTATATAAAATAATACTCATTAAGAGAGAACTTTTTGATGCACAGATTTCTGTTTGGTTCAAACTTAATATTCAATTAAAATTTCATGACCACTCACAAAATTTTAAAAACCAAATTTAAAAAGTACGACCACACATCGGACAAATTGAAAAAAAAATCCAATAGTAAATTAGATACTGACCTGTAGACCAATTTCATAATCTAAACTCTACAATGAGAACACTGGATGAAAAAGAAAATTAGATCAAGCAAAACTAATGACTCTATCAAACTAAAGGATCTATTTAATGTCACATAAGGATAGTGTACAGATCATGAATGAATTAGAAAGATTTAGGTTTCAAGATGAACTTCTTACTAGCTGTAGGCCTCGAGCATGTCTCCTTAACTTTCTATGTTCAGGTTTTTCATCTGTCAAATGGAGATGACAGTATCCAACTCCTAAGGCTGTTTTAGAATCAAATGAGATAATATATGCAAAGGCCTTGGTATAGTGCCTGGGGCTTATGCCAACGAATGTAGCTATACACCCACTCCTCACTTATCGACATGGTCAGGTTCCAAATACTAGGTCATTATGTGAAAATGGAGGATGACTACACCACTACATAACCTCCAAATTACATCATTATATAACTGCCAAACCACTGACACATAACCTTAACAGCCAGCGTTACTCTCGCCTCACACCTCAGTGTCTGTTACTGCCAGACGTACGTCGTTGATGCACAAAATAGTTGGATAGTAGATTGTTTACTATTGTTGTAAATGTGAAATGTCAGATAACAAGACAGTCAATAAGTGAGAAGTAGGTGTAATTATCTTTATTATGCATTAAAAGAAAAAATATTTTTGACTTATTTCATGTAGAATTATTTTAACCATATGGATTGGCCTATACTTCCAAAGTACACAATATATTACTGAACAGATCTTCTCAAGAAGAGAGGTACTAGTACAAGAACTAAATATAGTTAAATTGGATGAAAGCACACAATATGCTTTGTATATCAAATTCTCCATAGATATCAGGAGAATTTAGTATGCTTCTAGGAAACAGCTCACACTTTTGAGAAATCAGTGGGCAATGTGCAGGTAGTACGCATATTTTCACACTTAAAAAAAAGTCTCTCAGGTGCAAGTTTTTTTAGTCACCAACAAATTATCCACTGAGTGAACCTTGCTGGCTCTCACATACAGTTCAAGTATTCCTAGGCACTACCTTATAAACAAGACCACTACAAGGAGTTTTGTGATACTTCAGAAAACCAAAATCCCTTTACCTGGATACTTGTTAAACAGTCACTATCATAGGTGAGAAAAAGCATTTTAACAGCAGTAAATTCTCCATTTGGAATTGATCTACTGACTGATAATTATTTCAATGTGGGCCAGAAAGTGAAATATTTGAAAGTGAAAGGGGAAATAAAATGGTCTAAAATATATCATAAATTAACCTATTTTAGAGGCTCTTTTCAAAACAAGGACAATCCTAGGGTCTTGCAACCATGGTGATCCTCAAAAAGAAGCCAATAATTGTCTTGGAATGGTCAGACAGTCACCTATCTGAAGATTTATCCAGCTATTATTTCATAATTCTTTGTGAAGGCTACTCATCTACTCTGGTTGAGTATCATTTTCAATCATCATAGTTTATAGAAGCTAGACTTCCTTTTTAGGTCTGTGTTCTGTATTTCACTTTGTGTACACATAAAACTTTATTCATTTTATTATATGTGAACGTAACGTACTCAAGTTTTGAGGAAGAAAATCCAGTGTTTTAGATCATGTTTTCAATGTTCAACACATTATTAAATATTTCATGTTAGCTCATCTGGAACTGTGGAATACTGCAAAGATTCTTCCTATTTAAATGTTGGTTACAGTTAACTAATATCCCAAGCTTCATTATCTCTACTTAAAATTTTACCATGTACATACTGAAATACAATTTACTTAGTGATCATCTTGAGTCATAAATTTGGGGCAAAATTTTCTGATGGCTATAAATATGAAAACTAAATATCTGAATACAAAGAATGCATATTGCTTCACAGAACACTTTTTTTTTTTTCTTAGAGAAAAACAGTCTATTTAGGTTAAATTTCTAATCTTGGTTATATAGTCAAGTGTTTTTCTTTTAAAAAAAGAAATAAGGACCATCTTAAATATTTAAATAAAAATGATTTATAGAATTCAGTATGGATATCCTTAAAATATAAAAATGGAGTGAAACGGAAAAAAAAAAAACCCAATTAGAGGGAATTTGTTTATTGAACAATAATGTTAACACTTCTAAGTATTCACTTACGAGTTTTCTTTGTCACTGCCCTGCCAATGGACATAATGGAAAATACTGCACAGAACTCAAGCATGGATATAATAATAAACAAAATATCTAAGTAACAGTATATGCTTTACATTTTTAAAATGAATCCAAACAAAACAATTTGAAGCACTTCTCTGATTTGGAAGTCTTAAAATGTTATTTCATGTTTTATTTGAGATTTTTACAAATCGACACTGTTTGTTACAAAGAGTTCAAATGGCCAGTAAAACTACTGCCTTAAAATTGTTGGCTTTAAGTAACAGAGGTATAATTTGAATTCACATCAGAGCTCTCTAAAATGGCAATAGTACAAGCATGACTTTCTCTAGCTTCTAAAATCTGTTCTGGCTCTCCCTTAGGTAAGGACTAGAAAACTAGACAGCCTAGTTCTAAAGCCACCATGATTTCCACGTTTTGACAGAAGTTGGCATACTTCACTTCCCTTGCCTACCCTGATAACACTGGGTTAAACAGAAAATGAAGAAAATTCATTCGATAGTAACTTAAACGGTAGCTAGCTCCGGACCTGGAAGTTTGGTAAAGCTGATGACCAGTTAGAAACAGATTTTTAGAAGAAAAACAGTTTTCCAAAATTAGGCTCAAAAGCCTACATTTGAAAAAAAAAGTCAAGAATGAATTGAACATTAAAGTTTATGTGTTCCTAGAAGACTATGAACAAGAACACAATGGAAGCTGAAACACTACATACAGTTTAGAATGCACTCTTGCAGAGCAAGGTTATGGAGCTTATAGAATCACAGCCTTTCTAAATTTCCACTTGATGTTTAAAATTTTATAACTGATTTATTCTGTCACCATATTAAGCCAGTTCAATTAACTACATCCAACAGGAGTCATTTCAGAAATGCTTTGAGAAAGACAATGACAGAAACTACAGATATGAAAAGCAACTAGTTTTGCAAAGCTCATCTCCAAACAAAATGTTATCTAACAGTTCTAAATTCCTCTTAAAATAGAAGATTACCTGCATGTTTAACCATCCCATCTTATTCAAATTTAGCATTAAGATAGAAGTCTTAAAGGATTGCATTGTTGCTAAACACTGTCAATATTTCTCATCACATTTAGACTATACCTCACCTTTTAACTTCCCCTGTAATATTAAAATAATGAATAAGTATGGCCCTTTAATTAATGTCCTCTTCATCTTAAGTGAAATACAAAACAAGGTGGTTTCATTTCTTGTTAGAGTTGGCTTAAAATCTGTTTACCAAATAATAGCAAACTTTTGTAGTTTTACCCAGAAAGCAGCTGTATTCTGATCCACTCCTAATATCTACATAAAATATTTAATCATTCTAGTTTAGTTTATAACATTTTTCTTGGAACATTATTATTGTCGCACCCCAGAAAAAGCTCAGCCAACTACAGAAATTATGCAAAATTGCTAACCCCTTGAAAGAGGCAAAAAATTCTTTAGGAAACCCTAAAATAAATTAACCATTGCCAGTGCTGAAAAGGTAATTAAAAATTGATGAAGAGTAAATACAGTTTTGCTGTATTTCACCATTAATGCAAAAATGGGACGGTGACATTTCCGAATAGAGTATGTTAGAGAAGAAGAACCAAAACATTGGTAATGTCTCATTTGCCTTCTGACACCAACATTTTCCAGGATGAAAACAGTGACATGTAATTTCACAGATTTTGAAATTTGTAAGTTCAAGAACGGAATAAAAATTTAACTTGAGGGGAAAAAAGAAATACGGCTAGTGGTGTCCAAATTTCAAATAAGATTTCAAGGGTAAGTATGGCTGCTGTTTTCTTCCAAAGAGTCATTATTCCATAAAATGTTGGCTGTGTCACAAAGAATCTCCTGTGCTTCCTACCGATCAAAGCCTGCCAAAGTACAATACATTTCCCTTGTAAATTCAATCTCAGCTGAAATGTCGAGCAAGGCGGGCAGATCTATAGTCAGCACGAAGTTGTACGAAGGAGTGAAGTATGTTCTTGTCCAGATTAGCAAGTTGTTCTCCTGAACAGACTTGCTTTAAATTATCTGGGGCAACTACCAGAAGATTGCAAAGTGCATGCAGAGTATCAAAAAGCTGTAATACCAGTGGAATCTGAAATGAAGGAGGAGGAACAGAAAAATAACATTGAAACAAAATGATTTCCAGTTTTCTAATTAGTTTGTAGATTCTTTTCACTTATATTCTGTCAGTCAGGACTTAACTAAAGTGGTAGTTCAGTAGATGAGAATTTTTTAAAGTTCCTGAAGTTTTAATACTCAAAGATTTCAGAAGTTACATACACTCATTATAATCTTTTGCAAAGATTAATAATATATGAGTTTTCTTCAATAATAACAATTAGTTATACTTTCATAGGACTAGTTATGACTAATATAGCATTTTTAAGAAATAATTGAAAGCTTAGGGAAAAATGATCAGAGAGAGATGTACATGATGAAAGAACATACAATTTTCTGATGTGTAACATATACGGTATTAGCCATGGAAGTCAACAAAGCCATCTGGGCTGTGGAAATGAGATAACGCCTTGTCCAAAATAAAGCACGAAGCAAAACTGTTAATATTGAAAATGTGACTGGAACAGCACTTTTCCGAGTATAAATGTGTTAAAGCCATCTCACTACAACATCTACAAGAGTTATACATTTTTCACTAATTATTATAAGTCAATACAGATTTTTAATGGTCTCACTTATATTCCTGAGCCTATCTGCAAGCTTGATGTTTGTGTGTACATACCTTGAAGTCTTTGGCACACTTCCTGTATTCAGCTACATCACAAATTGCTAACATGCCACCCATACAACTGTAGGAATATTGTTGAAGATGTTCATAAATAAGTCGATGAAAACGTACTCCAAGTTCCATCAAAACTGTATCCACATTCTTCCCATCCATGGAATTTTTAATCTTTTCCACTTGTTTTCTTACATAAGCACAAACTTTAACACAAGCCTGTAAAATTTTTTCTATACTTATTATATAGAAATATTTACCAGTCTAACTAAAGAGAAAATACATGTAGTTTCTCATTTAATCTCCAGGTATTAAAAAAAGACCTTAAGAGCTAACCAAGACATTAATAAAGCAGGTATTCTTACTAGCAAATGGAATCATTTTACTTACATTAGTATACTGAATCAAAACATTGTTTTCATCTTCTGGCTTAAAATCTGTTTTCCTTTGTTCTGCAGCCAAGATATGCTTCATCTGTCCAATCATACAATTTAATGTCCTAGATAATTAAAACAACATATATGATCCATTTAAGTTATATTTATTTTTATTTACATTATTTATACTAAGTTAAATTAATATTTAATTTCATATCACCCTAAAACATTTTTGCTATTGTTTTAGATTTTCGAAAAGTAAATTGTAGGTCTTGATATCAAAGAGCTCTTGGCTTTATCATCTTCCTGCTCAAAAAAGAGGACAAAGATTCATTTGTCCAATACTTTATACTTAAGACAGTATTAAAGACCTTAGAAACTTGTCACTATTTTCTTAACACCTAAGAATCTTCAAAGGTAAAATTATATAGAAAGAATGCTTAGGAAGGTGGGAAGACAGAGGGCTTCTTGAAGAATGGCAGATGAGAGGAACATGAATCTCACTGTCTAAGGAAATGCAGGAGGATGGACACGTGGTACTGAAGACTGAGCTGAGAAATGAGGGCATGAATCTGTAATGGCACCAATATACATGTGATATTCTCCAACAGCAATCAGCCATCCAGCTATGGGAATAAAAGAAACTGCACTGATCCAGAGTTTAAGGTCCATAAGGCAGTTGTGGTTGAAGAAAATAGATTTTAAGGTATTTCTGAGGGAGTAATTCAAGAAATGGGTCAAGTGATCTAAGTACAATAATGAAGTAAAGCTAGCAAAAGGGTAATAGACTGGCAGAAGATGAAGATACCAAGGTCTTGAGGGCCTGTTGAAGTCAGCAAATTGATATATGGAGAAATAAGAAGTTGGACTAAAAGGAGGTTGTGAACACAGAGTGGGATATTCACACTCAAGGCTTTTATTAACAATCATAACAAGGTCCAGTGGGGCATGGGAGTGGAGAGCTAAAGTGGAGATAATCAAGACAATGAATGAGTCACTCACCTGAACCAGGAAATAACCTAAGAATTAAGGTTAAAAGAAAGGTTGTGACCCCAGGAAGTATGGCCCCGGACTCTCTGTCAACCCAGAACTAAAACAATTCCTGAGACCAACTCTTTAGACAAAGATTAGACTGGACTGTGGGGCATAAAATGATACTTGTGAAGAATGTGCTTCTTAGCTCAAGTAGATACATGCGACTAAACGGGCAGCTTCTGTCTGGAAGTGAGATGAGAAGGCAGAGAGGGTCAGGAGCTGGTTGAATGGACACAGGAAATTAGGGGTGGAAAGGAGGAGTGTGCTGTCACAGTATAGGGATAGCAATTAGGGTCACATAACGATGTACGTATAAATTTTTGTATGAGAGACTAACTTGAATTGTAAACTTTCACTTAAAGTACAATGATAAAAAAAAAACAAAAAAGGCTGTGAGTGAGGTGCCAAATCCTTATTAAATGTAGCAGGCTGACATAAATGATTGATAGACAACAGCAATAAGAAAGGGAATATGATGGTGTAACTAGATTATGTGAGATTCAAAGGCAAAAGAGTTCCAGCCTAACAGTAGATTAATACTGGTCTGAATGTATTAGCAGGGATGCAGGTGAATACTGAGTGCACCTCATGACTTATGGTACATGGATACGGAAGAATTAGAGGTTCGCACATAAACATAAGTGACCTCTAGAGATCACTGTGCCTTCAGTGTATTAACTAATGCAAAGATTTGCAGACTAAACAGAAAGATGAAAAAAAGGGTCCAATTTATAAAGAAGAAAACTAGGAAACAGATATTTCACATATTTTTGAAAGCTTAATGTATCCAACCTCCCTGCGTCCTCGAAAATGATTTTCAGGTATTCTGAGGTGAAGCAAGAAGAAATGGGCTTACGTTTTTTAATATAAAGGATTTAACTTAGGAAAACACATAGTTCTTGGCAGTGATGATTATAACGTATTACATGTTTACGTACATAAAATGTATAAATATAATGTGTTGAATGAATTGTTCTATGTATGTATAATCTAATGTGGTTCTAACTAAAAACAAAGGGAAAAACCAATTTTTAGGATTCCTGTATGCACATAATTCTCCAGTATACTGGTTGAAATACTTAATTCTATAATATTCTTACTTTTTCCAGTTTTATTCTATTTTGTTTTTCTTCCCTTTATTATTACTTTAGCACCTTGGTACTAAAATCAATTTGGGAGATAAGTTGCAAGTATTTTGTTACTATCAATAAAGTAAAAATTATTTAATTTTTTTGTAAATTAGAGAATTCCAGGTTATCCTTGTAACAGTACTGTCACTAACTTGCATTCAAATATGCTTTCTTGAGGAGAAGAGAAAGGAGTAGAATTACAGCAAATAAAAAAGAAATACCCAAACTTTAGTAGCATGGGCTGATCTTGTACAAATTACTTACTTTCTTTAAGCCTCCATTCCTGTAAAATGGAAATAATAGTTCCTACCTAATACATGAATAATATAGGTAAAGGTTCTTGCACTGTGGCTAGCACATAGGAAATGCTCAATAAATGGTAGCTAATATCATCATCAATAAATATAAACTCACAAGTGTGTGCTGCACATTTGGCCACTGTCTCAAAAAGATAGAGACCCATGCTCTATACTATAAAAAGGTAAGTAAGTAACTACAATAAACATTATAAAAAATTGTTGTGTGTAGAGTTTGCACCCACTTAACAGAACTTACTTTTAGAGAACATAATTATTAATTTAAAACACCTCATACATAAGCCTAAAAATTCTAAATAAAAATGAAATCCTTCATGTTATATGCCAATTTTTTAAGGCGTCTGGAGTATGTTTGAGTGAGTGAGAGAATGAGAGAGAGAGAGTATATGTGTGTGTGTGTGCGCGTGCGTGCGTGTGTGTTGAGGGAGGCATACAAAAAGGTTTTCAACTGAATCTGGTTTAAAAGAAAATCTAAACAAGCTTACTTTTAGAAATAATAAACTCGGGAATATAATAAAAATAATATTCTAATAAGGAATGAAAGCAATATATGAAAGTGAAATCAACTGTTATAGCATGACTGTGGAAATAAGATATTTTTTCTTTTAAAAATTGTTTTAATGATGCTATGATAGTGTTTTTACAATTAAAAAAAAAATCCAGAAGAAAACATAAACTAGCAACTTGCCTATCAATGCCAGTATCCAATTTCATCTCCATTTGTTCGATTATTTCTTTTTTCTTCTGAAGGCATTCCGATAACTTAGGAGAAGAGCTATTGAATATATTAAGGGAAGAAACCACGTTACTTCTAAAAGTTTTTCACATACATAATGTACTCTTATACATTTATAAACACATATACATAAATATACATTATTTCAATTTTTCCTAAATCCAAGAAGCATATAATAAAGAATATAAGTAGTAATTATTTAGTATTCATTATGCCCAAATCATTACAATAGTCATATTAGGAAAAATTAACCTATTTAAAAAGAGGGAGGAGGAACACTTAGATTTGTCATTCTCATTTCTAAGGAGATATTCCTTAAGAATATCTATATTTGATTTTTAAATTTTGGAATTATTTGGTTTCCCCTGTAACTAAATATCTGGTATGATGTTGATGTTGTTGTTATAGCCCTGGTGGCACAGTAGTTAAGTGCTCAGGCTGCTAACCAAAAGGTTGGCAGTTTGAATTCACCAGCCGCTCCTTAAAAACCCAATGGAGTGGTTCTACTCTGTCTTATAGGGTCCTATGAGTTGGAATCAACTCGACGGCAATGGGCTTGGGTTTTGGGGTTGTTGTTATTACGCGCCGTCGAGTCAATTTCAACTTACAGCAACCCTTGAGACAAAGTAGAACTGCCCTATGTGATTTTCTAGGCATTAACCTTTATGAAAACAGATCACCAGGTCTTTCTCCTGTGGAGCCTCTGGGGGGATATGAACTGCCAACCTTTCTGTTAGCAGCTGAGTGCTTAACCGTTGTACTACCAGGGCTCCTAAATATCTGGTATAATAATAAGAAAAGTTACAGGGTATCATCAATCAAGAAAATACTAAATCATGCAGGTTAAAATTTGGAAGCTAACAGCCAATTCAGTTGTATTTAGTTTATCCAAATTACAAAAAAAAAAACAAACAAACAAATCTGACAATCATATTTGCCTTCTGAATGCTACCTAAATGTCAAAATCACCCAAAATGTTAAGGGATATATCATGCTAATAATTATGCAAATTCTTTACTACGTGGCAAAACACCTCTTTAAAAAGTAAATTCTCAAAGATTCCTTTCAAAGCATGTAACTTTGTAAAGCATGTTCTTATATATACTACCTTATTTAATCCTCACATTTTAAAAGTTCCTATACATTGATGTGAAGATATAAATCAAAGCTTACTTACTCATAAAATGAGTCTTACTAATCTCATAAAATTTTTGTCTTTTTTTATTTAACAGTAGGTACAAGACGACTGTAACTGTTGAATCTTTTGAAGGGTGTCAAATGTGCTTGATTTCACTGAACTAGAGGTCTTCTTACACATCAGATTTAGGTTTATGACAGATTCAGTGTTTCCAAATACACCAAAACAAATACCACAGTAGGAAGAAGAAACAGGAAGGCAAGAAGAAGGAAAATAACTTTTACATTTTATTTCACACCTTCTTGTCCTATTTGAAGTTTTTATGAGCATGTTTTACTTTTATAATTAACAAAAGGTATTTAGTATAAGTCCAATGCTATAATATTCATTGAAATACCAATGAAAATCAGAGCTTTTGACTAACCTTATTAGTGGCATAAGGTGATCATTAAATTGCTTGTCAAAAAGATGAAAAATAGTATTGGCCTGTTGCACAACATCCAAAAAATAGAGATTTGCATTCTTAGAATCTGAAGAAGGAATTCCTAAAATTGGAAGATATATATATATATATATATACACACACACACATATAAACAAGTATGTTAAAATCATACTGCAGAAATTCTTTGTGGCAACAGAAAAAAGAATGTGGGTTTACATGTAACATGGATAAAAATAATGGTTGTTTTAATAAATCAATAATTATACTTTTGTGGAAAGAAGAGTAAAATTAAGCTTGTTAATATCTTAATAAAAGTAGATCCAAAGTTATTTTTATACCAAATTTTCACCATCTACTCAGTTTTCATGATTTGCTTATAAACCAAATCATAAAGATCAATACACGGACCATCTTGGACTCTACCTTCTCCTTCGTCTTTCCCCTCCTCTGGTACCCAATGATTCACATGAACCATGAATACACTTCCACTATTTTTCTTAAAACCAGACCTCATTATCTCTGATAACAGCTAATTTTCTTATTTGTGTCCCTGGTTTGAGTCTCTTTAGTGTGTTTGAGTGAGTGAGCGAATGAGAGAGAGAGAGAGTATGCTGCCGTAGTAATACGTCCAAACTTATGCTTAAATATTTCACTCACTGGGCTCTCCACTCTTTCCTCAAAAATCCTTAAAGTCTCCTCATTATTGACAGAATAAATTATTGATTTTCAGCATGGCATTAAAGCATTCCACATTCTGACCTCAAGAGTCAGCTGAGCTCTCTAAATTTCAGTTTCTTCTTTTTTGTAAAAAAGTAATAAACTCTAAGGTTCTTTTTAGCTCTAGATGTTCATGTTTATGGCTAACATTAAAAGGCATAACAGACTAGGCAAAATATTACCAGCAAATGAGAAAATAAAAGTATAACTATAGATCTTTTATAAGATGGTGATTTTTTCAAAGTTTTAAAAATGGAAAACAAAGGTTTTTTTCTCTCACGAAAGACACAATCACCAATTTAAAGGCTCTAACACAAACTTAAGAGAAAAAAATAAAATCAACACATATACAGAAAATACTAATCTTTTCTATTAATGAAAGAAATGAAAATCAAGGCAATATTGATACATGTTTTTAACCACTAAATTATTTACATTTTTAAAGAATTTTCAAAGGAATGCAGAAAAACTGGTACACTTGTACATGCCAATAGCAATGTAAATTGATTTTAAAAACTATAAAAAGAACTTTAGGAAGTTTATATGTATCAAATTCTTAAAAATCTTTATAACACAGTTAAACCTGGTATTTTATCCAAAGGAAATAATTCAAAATAAGGAAAGCACTTGAAGTTCTATAATGTAGCATCGTTTACCAAAAACTGAAAAGAATCAAGATGTCTAGTAATAGAAAATGGTAAACACTAGAATATATGTGTACAACAGAACTTTATGCAATCATCAGAAATCATGACAATGGCTACTAACTAAATAGCTGCATGGAGTATGCTTATGAACATAAGGAACCTTTCCATTCTATAAAGAAATTTCCTAAGCCCTTCCAAATTGAGAATATTACTATTAAAATGAAGATACTAAGTTCCCATACTAGCTAAATAACAAATTCTTCATAACACACAGATTCAAATTGATGTCAATTAATTTTTACTCATTATGTTCTTTCATCTTCATCACATCTTTGAGATGAGTTTTATTATCCCAGTACAAATTACCACGTTATGGACCATTAAGTCATTTGCAAATGGCAAATGTTAAATACATGATGTCAAGGATCTGCTGCAATTAAGTAAAGAAAAGCAGGATACAAATGCCCATCTACATCAAGAGAGTAACTACGTAAAAGTTGGGTAAGAGACCACAGTTGAGCCAAGTGAGTGAACTTCAGGTAATTTTGCTTCAATGTTTGAAACCTTACAGAATGATGTTATATATATTCAGTAAAGATTTTCTGAGCATCTACTATATGTTTCTAGGTACTAGAATATGATAATGAATAAGACATAAGATTTCTACCCACTTCCTAGAATATTCTTTCTCCTTAACCTCATTGAGATCTCTGATTCATATGTCCTCAGAGAGACCTTCTTCTCTGACCATCTTTCTAAAAAAGCCTTCTGCTCCTGAACTCCCTGTCCTACCTCCTCACTACTATTTTCTATTCCCTTACCCAGCTTTATTTTTCCTCATTGTGCTTCCTATTCATTTGTTTATTGTCTCTGTCTTCACAACAATTCAAGCTCCATGAGTGCAGGAGTAAGCACAAAATAAGTATGTACTGAATGAAATAAATTCTGGTGAGTGGAGGCAGACAATTAACTGGAAAAATTTTACACTGTGGTATGTGCTAGGAAAAAAAGTTAATTTAGTGATGAGATAATGAGTAACTGGGCTGGAAGAAGAGGGCTACTTTAGCTCAGGTGATCAGCAAAGGCCTCCCTGAGAAGGTGACATCTGAGTAGAAGGTTGAAAAGTCAGCTACGAGAGGAGCAGAGGGAAAAGGGCTTAAGGGACAGGAAAACATCAAGTGCAAAGGACCTAAGTGAGTCAAAAGAATGAAAGCCAGAGTGGCTGGGGTAGTAAGGGAAAATGCAATATGAAATAAGGATGAATACGTAAGAGGCCAGATCACAGAGGGCCTTGTAAACCATGGCTTTGTAAAAAAGTTTGTTGTTGTTTTGACCATAAGAGTAATGGGAAGTCACTCATGGGTCTTAAACAAGGGAATGATAATTAAACTGGCAGTTGTGTGGACTCAGTAATTTGTGGAGGCAAGAATGGACACATTGAGATCAGTCAGGAGCAGAGAGAGATGAGGGTGTTTAAACTACGGTGGCATCAGTGGTTATAGAGATGAATGTAAATTACATCAGGAAATATACTGACAGGATGTGCTGATAGACTGGCTATCAGGATTGATGAAAAGGAAGGAAAGGAAACTCCTGGGTTTGGGACTTGAGCAACTGATAGATGGTATTGTCTTTTAAATGAGATGGCAAAGAATGGGAGAGGAACAGATTCAGGTGGAAGAGAAAGAGTTTCATTGTGGATACGCTAAATTTGAGATATGCACTGAATATCCAGGTAGAGAGGTCAGTGGACAATTGGATTAATAAGACTGTTACCCAGGGGAGAGGTGATTATTATCCTATTAATACTAGTAAACTGGAAAGATTAAAAGCAAAATAAATTTAATATGAACCTATTCCTTTCCAGGCTTATTTTTTAATATTTTCCTTTCTAAACCATACATTACTCAAATCCCCCAACCGGAATTGCTCTCATCTTCATTTCTGCTCCCTTGACATTTTATAACTCAACATCGTAATATATTCCACCATACACTGTAGTGACTTATACAGCCTACCAGGCCCTGCGGGATGTAAACAGTATGAGGAAACTGACTTTTGCATAGCTTTCAGCACCTGGCAAATCCTTACATTACAGAAGCTCAAACAGCATTATTCATTGTACTTATCTGAATTCAAAATACAGAAACAACTATATATAAAATAGTATGAACGTAGTTTAACCAAGCAGGATAAAAGGCATTAAACACACTGTATAACACAAATACACTTACCAGCAAGTCCTGTTTCTAAAGCATAATCAATATGCTCAATACATAAAAATTCCACAAGAATGGTAAAAATTCTAAAGGCATTCCTTGGTAAATCAGAAGGATCAGAAAGCTTTAAAAACAAAAAACAAATACATCATTCCTCATGTTCACCTTTTAAAAAGTCCAACTTTTTTTTTTTAGCAATACGTATTAAGACATAGTCAGTATTTTAGGTATCAAGATGACAACTCACTTTCATGCACCCTCTGAAGGTAAAACTTATTATCTGATGTAAAAAGCTGAGAGTTGATTAAGAAGTTTATAACCCACATTAAATTTCCACTGATTATAAAACTAATTTGGTCCTGGTCTTCTTAGTAACTACCCCAACCTTTACCCCTCATCAGTCTCTTTACCCCAACCCTTACCTCCCTCCTTTGTACACTGATGCTCAGCTAATGCCTGTACCTTCTTCACAAGCCATAAGGAATAAATTCAATTTCTTACCCTCCTCCTGTTTACATCCATACTTAATTGATAGAACAGATACAAAGAAAATCAGTTAAAGATAAAGAAGACTTGAACAACACTATCAATCAACTGGATCTACCTGACACTTATAGAGCACTCTACCCAAAAACATCAGAATACACATTCTTTTCAAGAACACAAAGAATAGTTACAAACATGAACCACAAAAACCAAAGCCAAACCCGCTGCTGATGAGTTGATTCTGACTCATAGCGACCCTACAGGACTGACTAGAACTGCCCCATGGGGTTTCCAAGGAGTGGCTGGTGGATTCGAACTGCCGACTTTTTGGTCAGCAGTGAGCTCTAAACCACTGTGCCACCAGGGCTCCACATAGACCATAATCAGGGCTAAAAAAAACAAGTTGCAATAAATTTAAAAAAGAATTTTCATCATACAAAGTATGTTCCCTGACCACAATAAAGTCTATAATAGAAAGACATCTGAAATTTCCCCAAATATTTAGAAATTAAATTAATGCACAGCTGCTCCATGGGAGAAAGATGTGGCAGTCTGCTTCTGTAAAAATTACAGCCTTGGAACCTTATGGGGCAGTTCTACTCTGTCCTATAGGGTCGATATGAGTCAAAATCGACTCCAGAGTAACGGTTGTTTTTTTATTTGGGAAATCATCTTTGGGCCAAAAGAAAAAAGGGAAATTAAAAAGTATTTTGACTTGAATGAAATAAAACACACCATATCAAAATTTGTGGGATGTACCTAAAGTAGTACTTAGAGGGAAATTTATAGGACTAAAAACCTATATTAGAAAAAAAGGTCTCAAATTAACGACTTCATCTTCCACCTTAAAAAGCTAAGAAACAGGTAGATGAAACCCAAGTTAGCAGAAAAATAAAGAGTAGAAATTGGTAAGATACAAAACAGAAAAACAACTGAGAAAAAAATCAATGAAAACCAAAAAAGCTGGTTCTTTGGGAAGATCAATAAAAATGATTAACCTCTAGCCAGATTAATCAGGAAAAAGAGACAAAAATTACTAGTATCACAAGTGAAAAGAGGTGACATCATGTTAGATTCTATAGTTATTAAAAGGACAATAAGAAAATATTACAAACAACTTTACGAAAATAAATTCAACAACTTATATGAAATATACAACTTCTTTAAAAGACACAAACTACCAAAGTTCACTTAAAAAGAAGTAGATAATCTGAATAGCCCCGTATCTATTAAAGAAATTGGATTTTTAGTTAAAAACCCTCACAAAGAAAACTGCAGGTTTAAATGACTTTACTGGTGAATTTTATCAAGCATTTAAGGAAGAAATAATGCTAACTCTACACAAACTCTTCCAGAAAACTGAAGAGAAGGAAATACTTCCTGACTCATTCTATGAAGCTCACATTACCCTGATATCAAAACTAGACAAAAGACATTATAAGAGAAAAAAAAAAAACTGTAACACAATACCCTTCATGAACATAGATGTAAAACTTCTTAACAAAATTTTAGCAAACCTAAACTAACAAAAATATAAACAGGATACTACATAATGACAAAGTAGGGTTTACCAAAGGGAATGAAAGGTTAACCTTTGAAAATCAACATAATTCACCATCGTAACTGAGTAAGAAGAAAGCATTTGACAAAATTCAACATCTAATCCTTATAAAAACACTCAAAAAACTAGGAATAAAAACTTTTCAACTTGATAAACAGCATCTATGAAAAACCTACACCTAGCATCAAACCCTATGGAGCACAATTCTCCTCTGACTCATATGGCATCACCATGAGTCGGAACTGACTTGATGGCAACTGGTTTAGCATTATGATGAAAAACTGAATGCATTACCCCAAGATGAGGAATAATGTAAGGTGTTTACTCACACAACTTCTATTCAACATTGGAATGGAAGTTCTAGCCAGTGCAACAAGGAAGAGAACAAATTATAGAATAAGTAAAACTGCTTTTATTGGCAGACGGCATGATAGTCTATATAGAAGATTCCATGAAATCTACAAAAAGGCTACCAGAACAAGTAAGGGGGTTTAGTTAGGTTGTGGAGTACAGGAACTAACAGTGACTTTAGTTAGGTTGCAGAGTACAAAAAGTTAATTGAATGTCTATATATTTTTTTTCCAGTTGCTGCTGAGTCAACTTCAACTCATGGTGACCCCATGTGTGTCAGAGTAGAACTGTATTCCACTAGGTTTTCAATGGCTGGTTTTTCAGAAGTAGTTAGCCAGGCCTTTCTTCGGAGGTGCCTCTGGGTGGACACGAACTGCCAATCTTTCAGTTAGCAGCTGAGCCTGTTAACCACTTGCACTAACAATGAACTATCAAAAATAGAAATAGGAAAAAAAAAGCCATTTACAACAACATTAAAAATATGAAATACTCAGGGACAAACCCTTGATGTTGAAAATTACAAAACATAGCTGAGAAAAATTAAAGAAGACCTAAATAAATTGATAAACTGTGTTCATAGACTAAAAGAATAAATATTTTTAAGATGTCCATTTTCTAGGCACTCCCTCTCCTTATCATCAAAGATTCATAGTCTAACATATTCCAAATTGAATTGGAGACAGAATGATTTTACCAAAATTCCTATATACTAACCTCATACATTAGGGCATGGCATTTAGTGCTTTGGAAGTGACTGACAGCAGCTAAGCAGTGGATGCAGGTAAAGAGGAAAAGATGTCTGGAGAATGTAGCCCTCAGGCATGTCAACATTTAGAGGGCAGTAGGAAGAAGCGTGATGCAAACAGTTAAAGTGCTCGACTGCTAACCAAAAGGCTGGAGGTTTGAGTCCACTCAAAGGTGCCTTGGAATAAAGGCCTGGTGATCTATTTCCAAAAATAAAAAAACAGCCATTGAATGGTATTCTTGACCACTATTCTTGAAAATACTGTTAAGAGAATGAAAAGACGAGACCACAGAGTGAAAAAAAAGATGTTAAATTGCATCTGATAAATGAATTGTAGCCAGATTTTAAAAAAGGGCAAGATTTGAACACTTCATCAAAGAATATATGGATAGCAAATAAGCACATAAAATACAGTCAATATCATTAGTCACTAGGAAAATGCAAACTAAAACCACAATTAATTGTTACCACACACCCTATTAGATTGTCTTAAATTGAAAAGACTGACCGTACAAAATGTTGGCAACACATGGAGCAACTGGAACTATCATACACTGGTGGTAGGAATGTAAAATGGAACACTCACTTTAGAAAACTTTGGCAATTTCTTAAAAAGTTAAACAATAACCTACCATATGACCCAGCCATATCACCCCTAAGTATTCACACATGAGAAATGAAAGCACACGTCCATAAAAGACATGTACATAAATGTTCACAGCAACTTTATTTGTAATAGCCAAACACTAGAACCTACTCAAATGTCCATCAATAGGTAAATGGACAAATTGTCTATACAATAACATACTACTCAACAATAAAAAGAAACAAACTATTAATAAACACAACAACAAATTAGTATTGTTCACATACTATTATATAACAATTTAAATGAGTGAATTAAAGTTGGATGAATCAAAGTAATTATGATAAGTAAAAAAAGCCAGACAAAAAACAAGTTTATATTATATAATACCATTTATATAAAATTCTAGAAATGCAAACTAAAATATGACAGAAAGTAGATCAGTGGTTGCCCATCACCCACTCAGATGTGTCAAGTCTTAACATTTTTCCACACGTTTCAGATTTTTTTCTTTTTTAGGAGGGAGAGTACAACATTATATTACACGGTTAAGGTCCCTTGCAAGTCTCTGGGTGGCTCAAATGTTTAAGTGTTAAACTACTAACCAAAAGATTGGAGGTTTAAACCCACCCAGAGGTGCCTCAGAAGTAAGGTCTGGCAATCTGCTGCTGAAAGGTCACAGCTTTGAAAACCCCTGGAGTGCAGTTCTACTCTGCACACACTAAGTTGGAATCGACTTGACAGCAACTAAAAACAACAAAAGTTCCCTTGAGGACCCCTCCCTCAGGGCAACCACTACTCTGAATTTGTTTATCATTCTCATGCTTGCTTTTATTCTTTTATGTTTTGTGTGTGTATACATACACACAGTGTATGTGAGCATATCCCCAGACAATATACAGTATTATTTTTAAAACTTTATTTAGTAGTGTTACGCTGAATATATTTTCCCCCACCTTGCTGTTTTCACTCACCATTGCATTTTTTATATTTACTCATCTTAATACACATAACTTTAGTTCACTCGTTTAAATTATTATATAATAGTATATGAGCAACTAATTTGTCACTTCTTTTTGACTGACACTTAGTTTGCTTTTACTTTTTAACTATGACTAACAATGCCACTATGAACCTTAGTCATGTCATGTGTACATGAGTTTCTCTAATAAATTGTCAAATTACTCTCCGAAGTAACTATAGCAATTTTCACTCCCATTGGCAACGTGTGAGAATTCCTGTTGTCCACATCCTTACCAATACTTGGTATCAACAGACTTCTTAATTTTTGCCAACCTAATGAAAATGAGATGGTATTTCTCTATTTTAAGTTTAATTTCCCTAATTATTAATAAGATTGGATATCTCATTGGCAATTTACATTTCCTTTTATGTAAATTGCTTACATGTCTCCTTTGTTTTCTATTTGTATTTTTATGTATGACCAGTTGCAGTCAAGTCGATTCTGACTCATGGTGATCTCATGTGTGTCAGAATAGAACTGTGCTCCATAGGGTTTTCAATGGCTAATTTTTCAGAAGTAGAGCACGAGGGCTTTCTTCCAAGGTGTCTCTGGGTAGACTTGAACCTCCAACCTATGTATACTTTATATTGATTTACTGTCGCTCAATATAAGTATGTAAACCATATAAATCAATATAAATTAAAAAATTAAGACTACCTCAACTCTCAATTCTACTACTTCGGAGCTATATATCTCAGACTCTTCATTGTAAAATAAGGATAATAATGAACACACAGGGTTGTTATGATGACTAAATGAGTTTATATACTTAAAAGTGCTTAGAATAGTGCCTGGAACACAGTATGTGCTCTAAAATTATTAGCTATTATTATTTATTTTAAATGATCTTCTGCTAGTAATACTAGTTACAACCAACCTTCTTACAGGCTATTTACTTTGTTTAAAGTGTGTTAGTTGCAAAGAAACTCTAAAATTTAATTCTTTCCCTGTGATGTCTTTTTTTTTTTTTAAATTGTACTTTAGATAAAGGTTTATAGAGCAAATTAGTTTCTCATCAAACAATTAATACACAATTGTTTTATGACATTGGTTGCCAAGCCCACAACATGTCAACACTCTCCCCTTCTCAACCTTGAGTTCCCTATTACCAGCTTTCCTGTCCCCTCCTGCCTTCTTCTCATCCTTGTCTCTGGGCTGGTGTGCCCATTTAGTCTCATTTTGTTTTATGGGCCTGTCTAATCTTCGGATGAAGAGTAACCTCAGGAGTGACTTCAGTACTGAGTTAAAAGGGTGTTTGGGGGCCATACTCTCAGGGTTTCTGCAGTCTCTGTCAGACTAGTACGTCTGGTCTATGATGTCTGTGTTCTTAAAACACACTTCCCTCCTCAATGGTCCATTTTTTATGAGAAAGGTCTAGCTCTCCTTTTCATACCTTGATTTAGTATCTTATAGAAAAAAATTTGATATGCTCAATTTTAAAGTTATATTATGCTCTAAATAATTTTAAAATAATTATGTTCTTCAAAACAAAAATCTTATCCTTTTTTTTTTTTTTAACTATAAAAAATAGTTGCTTTTAATGAGAGGGTAGATTTCTTTCTTAGTCTAAACAAGGTAAAACTTAAAACACACAACTATATACAAATAATATAAATTGATAATCACTCTTACCCTATGGCATCTTTCAAAGGCTTGTTTGGTTTCTTGTAAAAGATTAACCACAACCTCTTGGGATAGGAAAGTTTCCCCGTGAGTATCAATACTTGGCCCCAGTGGTAAGTTGGTACGCTGTCGAATTCTTTCTTTCAAATCTTGAATACTAGTATATCATACAGACAAATGAAAAAAGAAAAGACTTTACTATACATTTCAAGTACTCTCAAACTTAGTAGGAGCCCTGGTGGCGTACTGGTTAAGAGCTCCGGCTGCTAACCAAAAGGTCAGTAGTTCAAATCTACCAGCTGCTCCTTGGAAACCCTATGGAGCAGTTCTACTCTGTCCTATAAGGTCTCTATGAGTTGCAAGAAAAATGAACCAACAGCCGGGAGACCTAAGTTCTAATTCCAATAACTAGTTCTGTGAATTGAAACAAGCCCTGACCTCTGAACTGGAGACTTTTCATCTGAAAAATAAGTAGATTTATAGTAAATGATCTCTTAAAGTTCCTTTCACCTCTACAATTCTGTCTCTATAGCCAAAATCTCCTTGCGTATCTGGTTTCCTCAGGAAGTGAGCTATTCCAAATAGGTTAATATTCCAGATAACTAAATGGTCCTGTTTAAAAATAAAACTTTAAAAGTTTAACTGTTTTTAAATATATTTAACCATTTAAACATGTTGTACGTTTTTTCACTATCTTAAGATATGTTTTTGTTGTTGTTAGGTGCCATCGAGTCAGTTCTGACTCATAGTAGCCCCACAGGACAGAGTAGGACTGCCCAGGAATGGCTGATGGATTTGAACTGCTGACCTTTATGGTTAGCAGCTGAGCTCTTAACCACTACACCACCAGGACTCCATCTTAAGATACAGCAAACATAATTTAACCTTTTCTTAATGACTGAGGGTTACTTTGAATATTTATTATATGGTGGTATCTAACACATTTTTTGCTTCTAAAATGTATAGTTTCAGACTATGACCTACTTTTTAAAAAAATTCTTATGATTGTTCTTTAGTTTTTCTCTTCCCTTTCTTGTACTGCCTTCCAGATGTTACCTATTACTCCTAATTATAACCTTTCACTGATCATTATTTATGACAAACTGGGAAACAGAAACCTGATTAGGGTATGTATCTGTATAGATTCTGGGCTCTTATTATATGGCTCCACAGAAGTCATTCTGTCTCCTTCTAGAATCAACTAGGCTCCAGACAGTTGAGGTCTGGATAACTGAGGTGCCACCAATGCTTATAACAAATCATTTCCTTCTAATACGTGAATAACTGTGGGCTTTCAGGTATTAATAATTTTATGCCAATGTCATTAAAAAGCTCATTAATCCAGAGTACCCAAATTAGTAACTATTTGCTGTTGTTGTTTTTTAAGCCCACACCTGCAATAACAACAACAATAATGATGACGATGTACTTCCTACTCAATAACCTGGAATAATTTACTCATTCTAAAAAAAGACAAACTATGAAATGTTTTATAATACTGGGATTCTGCTTAACATTTTAATCATGTTGTGATAAGTCATTTCAATATGTGGTTCAAGAGACAGAATCTGATCAATGGTGTGAACAACCTGGGTTAAAGAGTTCTTCATAGAATATTCCAGTGACAGTCAGTATTTGACAAGTTTATCCAAATATAGTAGAGTTCTGAATATCTTTAGTTTTAATTATTATATTTAACAAAAACACTCACCCTCCTGTGCCAATGGATCTCTTTTGATGGTTTTTTGAATCATAATAGCGCTGCAGGATCATAGCACTTCTGCTTTTCAAATAACCAGTCTCCACCTCAATATAGTTCTCCAAATAGGAAATGAAAATGGATTTGATAAGCTTAGACAAGAAAGTCTGTTTATCAGTACCTAAGTTAAACTCCATCAACTTGCTGGAAAGATTGGTGGTTCTTTTCATGGAAAGCGGGGAAAAAAAGATTAATATATATTTTAAGTATAATAACAACATTAAGGAATATATATTTTTACAATGTGACTTTAATGACTTATGTTAAACCACCATTTCCTAAACCTTGGGAGGGTACTTAGGATGCAGAGAGCAGCTCTATAAGGTTATATATAAAGTAGAATTAAAAAAAAAAAAAATATATGGTTTTGAGAACTGCCATAAAACTCCTAACGATGACCAACGAGAGGAAATTGAAGCAATAGACTAGTGTAGAAATAGCAACAGTGGCAGAATGGCTTCAAGTATGCTTCAGTGCCACTCATCATGTGGTACCCAAGTCAGAGCACTGAGAGGCCTGCTCTCTGTTCAACCTCTTTTGTCTTTGTCCATGTGAACTTTCCTCAAATTTTCTATTTCTCATGGTTGAAGACAGGGTCACGTTGAGTGCTGTTGCTGAGATACACTTACTTATTATGGTTACTCTTGAAAAACCTCTTCCCAAAATGATGACAATGAAGAATAGCAATAGGATTGGAAAAAGCAGAGGAAAAAAATACTCCAAATAAAACTTCTGACATAATATCTCTAAGAGTAGCACTACCATTTATAAAAGCACAAGACAAATTCTCGTATCAGATTTAAGGCTGAAATTGTTAAGTGTGTCATTTCCTTTCGCAGTTTCTAAAGTTTTAATTGCATTAAGTGTAATTATACTAATTTTAAGGGAAAAAAGTTAAAGACTAATGAACTAGCTTTAGTTTCTAATTAAAACCAGAAACAAAATTCCTGAGTCTTCATTTAAAGAAGAAAATATGGTTTTATGTTCCATAACGTAACGTATAACATCTAATTCCTCAATGCGCTAAGAATGCTGCTCTTGTACAATACTAGTCTATAAAGTCAAACATTTTTAATTCTAAAAGACATACTGCTTGCTATCTGACAAACTGTTATTCAAAAACATCTGAATACACCCCCATTTTCTATTTTTTTAAGTCTAAGACCTATTATTTTTTAATAATTAAAAATATACCTTGTATATAGATCATAGAGATTTTTGAGATATTGCTCTGCATCAAACTTTCTACATTCTTCTAACTGGTCTTTCACAAAATTCTAAAAAAAAAAAAAATTCTGTTAATTAAGAATATTACATTCTAACTTCTCAAGATACTTTTTCCTCTAAAATTACTTCACATTCTTTACCTGTTCTGATTTAAAATCCAATTAAAAAGGCAATGCATAGAAGAGACCAATCATAAAAAGAAAACAAGTTTTTATTTCTACTGCTTCTCATATTTAACTGTAGAAGATCCCTATCAGTCTTGATAATATGTATAAAGAATTCAGAAATACCTTTTTTTTTTTTTAGAAACTAGCATATCCTGCTTCAATAAAAAACGAGGCTATACCAATAGAGTCAATTTCTTAGAGAGGTACTTCCCAAACTGTCAGATTGACACTAGCGTCCTTTGAAACAGTAATAGGCATTACTCTAAAATAGGGTTCCTAGGTCAGTAAACTTGGAAAATGCTGTACATTTTACTCCCACTTTCAGAGAACCACAATACACATTCGTACCTTAAAAGACTACTAAAAGTCTGTAACTGTATTTTAAAAAAACACCTATTTAATGTTACTTAATCAGGTGGTTAACGCAGTTTAGGAAATGATGCCTTAAAGTATAGTGTGGTAGAGGTCAAGGCTGTAAATTAAATACCTGTTTTGTTTCTCTTTCTTTTTGTGTTAGTGCCATATTATTAAAAACTCTAAAGACTACACTTGTAATTCTTGTTCAATTTCACAAATGCATCTATTGGTCATGCTGAGGACCAAAAAAAAAAAAAACCTACTACAATTTATTACTATTTTGCTACTACTACACAAATTTCAAGCACGTTCTGATGATACTTGGTGATTAGCACCTTTTATGTGGTGAACAATGAAACATTTTATGACAACGTGATATTGGCACTCTTCTCCCCTGAACTGGATAAGTAGATTACTATTCCTAAAGTCAATACATTAGTAAACTAAGTTTTTAAAAATGTTTAAAATATAGGGGGGAAAAAACATACTGTCGTAAGAGCTACTTAATTTGTAATTGTTTAAAATTACCTGTAGCTTGATTTCAAATACATTCTGAATAAGTTTAGCGAGTACTGTTTCTGGATTACTAAAGATATCTCCAACTTGTTTGTTCACTCGTTGACAGAGTATTGCTGCATCTTCAAATATATCATTTCTCAAATAAGCACCCTAAAAAGCAAGCATTTTACATAGTGAAAATACAGTTTTTAAATGGTTTTTAAACTGTAAATTAGCATTAAATAAAATCCAATAAGTGTACTGTTACATTACCTCCTGGCACTGCTTTATATAAACATCAACACAATGGGAATAACCCTACAAAAAGAAAAGAAACACATCCTTTTTCACTCTTCAGGTTTAATTTTAATAATAATCTCAATAGAAAGAAGTGTTATATGTAATAAAGCTATACCTGTATCTCAGTGAATAGCCAATAGTGATAGTTGTTGAACATAAAAAAATTAACTGTAGTGAACCAATAACCTAACATAGGTGTCTTCACTTTACATGATAAAATGATCAGTTGGTTCATATCCTTGTCGGACTTTAGACTGAAAGAAGAAAACTGAGATCTAGCTGAATTCTTTACAGCAATTTTTCCCCTATGATCACCTAGGATTCTCCTTCAACTCCAAATCACACATACTCATACACACACACAAAGATTCAAGGTACTAAGGATAGTTTTTATGTATATATATTTCCTTCTTCCTTCTCTTTAAGGCAAAGTATTCCCTTGGTAGAATCTGGGCAGAGCTGCGTTTAAGCCTTGAATCTGGTAATCTAGAAATTTACTTTTGAAATTGAATTCGTTTAAACAAAATGTACTTAACACAAAATAATCTGTAATATTAAGCTCACAGTAATGAAATTTTTTGCCTACTAACAAATCATATATAAAAATAAGTAAGTAATATAAAGTACACTGTGGCCTCAAAGGCTATCCTCAATACTCATTCAGGTATGTTACTTAAATGTAAAGTCCAACAACATTTCTCTAATCTAACTGATACGAATATAAAGGAACACAGTGAAGGAAAGACAATTTCTTTAAGCACCTGCTTTGCAAAAATACACTCCCACACAAGGATTCTTTTCCTAGTTCAAATTCCAGGAAGATAGTTCCATGATCATAGAGTCAACATTCCTTTGTATTACCACCTGAGATCCACTGAATTTAAGTCTTTGACGAGTCACATTCCATCTACCTCTCTGGTTCCTATATTTCAAATATTTAAGGTCAAGTCTTCTTGCTTTTGACCTATTTCTAACACATTTGATTGAAAAAGCTATATTAACAAATAAAAAGGCAGACAATATTTTTTATATCCAGCTACATAAACATTTGTTGGTAAAATATTAATGTTACTGAATATAAAATCCTTATTTAAATAATATAAAATACCTAACATTTAAGATTGTTTATGGAGAAATATATAGAATATAAATGCAAAGTTTTCAAAAAGATGATAACTAATAGGGGAAAATCAGAGACTATAATAGACAGAAATTTATATAATCTTCACAGTCTTACACACTGGTCTTCACTTTTACTACTTACCTTAAAATGAAGTAAAACTGCTGCTACTTCTCTCATTCTGGAGATTTCACCTCTTCTTTGAGCACTGGTAAACTCCTGAATCAGCTGGCATTCTAAATCATGGTACTTACCTAAAAAAAAAAAGGAAGTCATTTGGCTACAATGGGGCAAAGTATCCAAGTTATTTACGAGTATCTGAATTATTTACAAATATAATAACTATGGATCTAGTCTTCTTTTGAAAGAATTACAAAAACAACACGAGACTATGGGTAGTAGCTTTAGCCCCTATAACATAATGTGGTATATAAATCTGTATTTTCAATACACAAAAATCTTCCAAATTGGTAAAATAGTTGAGCTCCCCCATAATTTGACTCCCATTTGCCACTGTTACTTAAACCAACAGCTGACTGGAAAATATCCTTCAGGTGCCATTTCTGAAAGCAACAGCCAGAAAAAATTTTAAACCTGAAGCTGTGGAGAGGAAAGGACAACTATGGAACTCTTTACCAGAGTTCAAAAGCTCCTACTATGAACAATGTTAGACTAAAGCACCAAATTTTGTCTTAAAGTAATATATGGTATTTGATTCACTATATTCTTGAATGTAGTACAGTTTTGAATGAACACCTGACCTTTGGACTAATCCACACTGATAAATACCATTTGCAAAAGTCCAACTATCTATGCTATCCTTATTCTTAGACCTTTGGGAAAATAGGTGCTTCTGTGAATCTTCTATGTAAAAGCCTCCCGAACAGTGATATAGGCTGCCATACAGCCTGGAAACATAGTGGTCTTTCTAGAAACCTAAAATGATTTAGCCTAAAATATAATCCAAAGATGGCAAAAACCAAGCTAGTCATGTAAAGAGTTAAACAGGTACTGAAATGCTCATATAATCTGAGCTTTAAAAGAAGAACCTCATATATGTACGGATATAAAACAATCTCTAAGATAAGTTGTTAAAAAAGTAAGGTATAAAGCTATTTATATAATATGCTACCAGTTATTTTTAAATAAATAAGAATGGATATATATGTATATATATTGTTTGTTTCAGGGAGGGGAATCAAATTCAGGAATGGGGTCAGAGAATGACATTGTTCCCATCATCTCCCTTTTTACTATTTGTTTTATTCTTTTACACAAGTAATCTTATTACTTATTCAAAAAACTAAATACATAGAAACTCACTTACTTGCAATTTTGGATTTTACTTCTGAAAATCTGAAAGATAAAAGGCCGATGATGAGCTTCATTAGTTGTGAAACATGTACCACTGTAATAAACGATGTTAACAAAAGGGGAAACTGGGTTAAGGATATACGGGAACTCTCTATGCTAAAATTAGGTAAGATAAAAAGATTATTTTTTTAAAAAAGGACAAAAACAGAGGAATGAGTATTGACAGAAAGCATGCTAGGTAACAAAACTGAACTTGGACAATTCAGAGGGATAGCTGGTTCTCATTCAGGAAATTCAGATGGAATAACCAATTCCCTCGTTAAAGAGGGAGATGTAACTTGAGTTCTGTATGATGCACCTAAAAACCTTGCCAGTCCCAAAACTGACTTATTGTCCCGATTCATGTTCACTGGCGTTTTAAATTTACTTGATATTTGCCTTTTTTCATTCTCCCTCAGGATTTTTTAAAATAAAGTTCCATTATTATTATTATTTAAAAGAAAAACAATCATGAAATAAGAACATGTAAGTGAATTATTTTAAAATTAGAAAAATAAAATAGGCTGTAAAGAGGATGCAACATGCCTGGCCGAGTAACTAACCTTTACAAATTCAAAAACTAAGATACAAGTCTACTACCCACTAGAACTTTTTCAAATCTCAAACATCCAGGGGAATGCATAGCATGAAAAACTGATGTTGAAAAATCTTATGTGATCAGTTTTAAGAGAGAGAAGAGTGGCTGGCAACAGAGACGCCAAAGACAGACGAAGGTGGAAATAAAAACTTGAGAGTTATTCAAACTAGATATGTCAAAGTCATATCTGGTGGGGCAAAGAGCGCATGTAAAGCCATATTTATATGTGTGAAAAAAATCAAATCTGATTAGGATATATATTCAACTCCAAGGCTTAGTAAGAGTTTAAAACAAAACTGTAAGAGAAATATGTACTTGAGGAGTAGGAAGAGTATAGATTTGTGTGTTTTAGAGGGAAAGAATAGGGTGCAGAAAGAGGTAGGAGATAGAGCCACAGTTCTCAAGCTCCTATTCTGAGTCAGACATTTTACCCATTTAAGTAAATGGTCCAACTCTCAAATGAAATAAAAGTTTAACGAAAAGTTTTGGTAGGTGACTTTAAGAATCATTTCAATATAATAATTTATTATTAATGCTGGACAAGTATGAGATTATATATAATAGCTAAATTATGACAGACAATCATTACTGCTAATCCTTTATGATGACACAAAGAGTTGAGAGTAAAATGAAGAGATAAAATTTTTGTTAGGAATTCACCCTCACAGTATGTTTGGGAGATAATGATTAAGTGTTAAGTATAGTAATACTATTTTCCACCTGTACCTGAAGATGAACTTCAAGTATCATGAAAAGAATAATATATTTCCAAAGGAAAGACTTTCAAATAAGCACATGGGGGAACTATTACTACCAAGATTTTATTAAGAGTCTGCCACTCTCTGGACTAGAGGAAATCATGAAAATATTTCCTTCTCAGTGAATAATTTCTTTTAGTATGAAACTATTAATACCTAACTTAGCAATGGCCCCTAGAGTGTTGCATCTAAAACAGATTCTTAACCCAAAGTCCCTAGGGAGGGATCTATGGATAGGCTAAAGGGTCTAAAACTCCATGGAATTGTATACAAAAATTCTTAATTTTTTGAAGAAAGGTTATACCTTTCATCAGCTTCTGAAAGGTGTCCAAGATCCTACAAAGCTTAAAAACCATCACAGAGATAGGAAAAAGCAGCTGAACAGTCCCATGCTTAAACTCTCCATGTCCTCTACTATCCTGGTTCTCAAAGTACAAAAAATGAAAATACAAAATTCTCCTTCATTAAATCTCTCTTTTTCAGTAGCTGCTGAGGCTACTTATGTACAACCAAAAACCTTATGGGATTTAGTTTCTTGGTTTGGAGGTTTAGGATCATGATTTCATGGGACACCCCAGTTAACTGGCCTAATGACGTTTAGTGCTTCTGTTCTACCTCCCAGTTTGATGCGTAGTGCCTGGGGTCTTAAAAGCTTGCAAGCGGCCATTTAAGGCATAGCAACTGATCTGCAACAACAGAGGAAGAGAGTCAGGAAAAGAAGGAGGATATGGAACATGTGGCTAACTGCCTCTATGAACAACTGCCTCCTTTGTCATGAGACTAGAAGAACTGGATGGTGCCCAACTACCATTACTGAACATTTTGATCAAAGATTTCATAGAAAAAACTTGGTCAAAAGCGGGAAAATGCAGAACAGAATTTCAAATTCTCATGGACTCCAGACTTCCGGAAGCCATGAAGGTTGGATGAACCCCTGAAACTACTGCCCTGAGATTATCTTTAAAACCTAAGCCAAAAATATCCCCTGTAATCTTCTTAAAACCAAACACAGTTTAGCTTAACTAGTAAAAAAAAGGTCTACCTTAAGCATTATGTTTTTTTAAGAACTATCTATATGGGATCAAATTGACAACAGCAACTTGAAAGATTAGAGAGGAACCTTAGTGGGTAGTGAATTTATGTTAATGGAGGAGCAATAACTCAGAAAAGGAGGGTGAGAATGGTTACACAATTCCAAGAATGTAATCAATGTCACTAAATGGTACATGTAGAGACTGCTGAATTATATGCTTTGCTGTGTATATTCTCAACAATAAAATAAATAAAATCATATATTTAAAAAATTTCTTTTTCTTTTTTACAAGAAAAACAAGATTTAAATTACTTCAAAGCATTATCGTTAAATTTAGATATTAAGAACAGACTATTATCTTTTCAATCAACTATTTTATATGTACCTTATAGAAAGGAGGTGTTCAATAAATTCTTGTTGAGTTAATGGGCAAGAATAATCATACAGGTAAAAATACAATTTCATTCTCTAAATTACACCATATGTCCAAATTAGCTCTTGCAAAATAAACTTGCCTATCAAAAGGTAACTCCTGGGCAATTAGGTGTAACTTCTGAATGATGTCTGCTGCCTCCTTTATCTATTAAAAAAAAAAGCAATAATTAAAAAAAAAAATCTTTATGCATGCCAAAAAATTATTTACATATATGAGATATATATATATATAAAATTACAAATAGTAACATCCCCTATGTATCCCCACAGTCACCCTGCTCAAAACAATTTTTTTTAAAAAATGCACAACAAATCAAACCTTGTGAGCAACAGGAATACATCTGGGGTATCATCAATCATGAGTCAACAAAACATTTCTCTTTCTGGTACTGAGATTTTGTGATTTTTATGAGGCTATAATCCCCTCCCAAGTTTTTATGAGGCTATAATCCCCTCCCAAGTGAAACCTGTACTTCAAGTTTACTGTGAAGAAATTCAAATTACTGTTTGCCAAAAGCAAATGTCTAAGTCTATTCTAAGTTTATAAACCCAAAAAGGATAAACAAGATTTATGAAAATGATTTAGCTCATACTGCTGCATACACCCCATTTTAAGCTAAGTGAATAAAATAAAAAAAGAATCCTTGTTATTTAATGAACATATAAATTTATAACACTTGTTCTGAAAGCAAAGATAAAGTTTAATATAGAGTCTCCTGAATGAAATACAGCACAGAAATGTATGCACTTATTCAAGTTATATGACTAAAGGACTTCGGCAAATTTCTGAAAATGCAGATATTTGACTGCTGTTACACCACAGTGTAGGGGAGTTATATAATGTTTACTTTTTCTTTAAATTTCTAATTAGTACTGAGTTTTATTATGGGACACGCTAAAAGTGTTTACGGCTCAATAATTGATTTTATGATTATTCATTTTCATTTACACCAAAAAAAAAACACAAATATGAAGGAAGAGTGAAAAACATTAATATAGATTTTCCTATCTAAGTACTCATGTGAAACCTGGCAAGCAACTGTGGATAACAACTGCAGAGCTTGTTGCTACTTCTTGCTCCAACTGATAGTGAGTACAGCATGTCTGTTTCATTTCTCTCTTCTCTCCTCGTCATCATGTTGCTGTCATTTTCAGTTACCAGTAGTCATTCTATCCTGCTGCACATGGGCATAATATCACTGCAGCATCACTTTTCATCATGCCATTTAATTGTACTAGCAATGCCCATCATTTTCTCCACACAATTGCCTCCTTCAAAAAGAACCTGCCTGGCACACAGCCAGCTGTGTTTCCATCAGGTGTTTGTTCTTGTTTTTTTTAAGAGCTAGAAGTCCTCATTATGTGCTATTTGCAAATTTCACTTAATATAGTATGAAGTATAGCAGTAAATAACACTTGTTTTTATTGAATTTCCACAGCTAATTATGTGGTAAAACTGTTTAAAGCACAAGTAGCCCTTAAAATCATCCATCAGTTAAAAATACACTACATTAACTGCAGAAGCTGTCAAAGCCACACTCTTAACAACTTGCTTCTTCTTGTTAGTTGCCATGAAGTTGATTCCAACTCATGGTGACCCCATCTGTACAGAATAGAACCGCTCCATAGAGTTTTCAAGGCTATGACCTTTCGGAAACGGATCGCCAGGCCTGTCTTCTGAGGCACCTCTGGTTAGGTTCAAACCACCAACTTTTTGATTAGCAGTCAAGTACATGATCGTTTGTGTCACCCATTTGCTTCCATCTGTTATCAAATAATAGGGTGACGGGAGACACCACACATTCTAACAATATTCAAAATAATCAGTCATTAGGCATTATCTACATGAAGAAAAAGTGAAGAACAATAGGCTGCTATTCTAGGATAACAACCAACATACTTTGCAAAGACAGAGGTAAAGAGGGAATCTATGACATGCACATAAAATAGGTTTTGTTCAGGGAAGAGCAGAAGACTCTGAACAGCAAAGATTTAATAAAAAGAAAAATTACTAGGAAGAAAAAGGAAAGATGTATTGATATTCCATTCTAATCTCCCCCCATCCCCCGCCCCCGTGCCAACCACACACCTTCCTAGCAACATAAGTGATTTTCCTTTTCTTTCTACCAGGAATGTGGCAGGCACAGAGTTCAGAAATTCAGACAGCTAGAAGTTTATCTGATAATTGGCAATCTAGCACCATATATGAATTCGTAAGTGAGGTTAACTCTGATATCACCAGGTAAAAATAATGATTCATAATTAGCCAATAGTAACCCTAAATTTGTGGGGGAGATGAGAGACAAACAAGGCAATGGGGAAAGAAGAATAAAATATAAGAAAATAAGGAACACAGGAGGTAAAAAGGAAAACGTTTAGAGAGCAGAGTGAAGCAAAGCAGAGAAAATAAGAGGGATGAGTTTAAACACTATGTTAGTCTATACAGTTCCTCAAAAATTATAGGTGACTATAAGACACTGCTGAAAGAGATTAAAGAAGACGTAAATAAATGGAAAGACAGTCCACATTCATGGATTAGGAGACTTAATATTGTTAAGATGTTAATACTACCCAAACCGATCTACAGAGTCAATGTAATCCCAATCAAGATTCCAACAGCCTTCTTTACAGAAACAGAAAAACCAATCCTCAACTTTATATGGAATGACAAGAGGCCCCAAATAGCTAAAACAATGTTGAAAGACAAAACTAAAGTAGGAGGACTCACAATTTCTGATTTTAAAACATACTATACAACTACAGTAATCAAAACAGCCTAGTACTGTTATAACAACAGACACACAGACCAAAGGAATAGAATTGAGAGTCCAGAAATAAACCCACACATCTATGGTCAACTGATTTTCGACAAGGGTGCTAAGTCCATTCAATGGGGAAGGAAGAGTCTCTTCAATAAATGGTGCTGGGAAAACTGGACTTCCACATGCAGAAAAATGAAACAGGATACATGCCTCATACCACACACAAAAACAAATTCAAAATGGATTAAGGACATAAATGTGCAAACTAAAATCATAAAATTCTTAGAACAAGAAGCAGGGGCAATGCTGTTAGGCCTAGCTTTCAACAATGGATTATCTAATAATAAAAGCACAAACAGCAAAATACAAAATAAATAAATGGGACCTCATAAAAATTAAAAACTTTTGTTCATCAAAAAACTACTGAAAAAGTGAGAAGACAAGCTAACACTGGGAGAATCTTCAGAAATCATATATCCAACAAGAATCGAATAACCAAAATATATATAAAACTTCAACAACTTAACAACAAAAAGACAACCCAAACATGAAATGGGCAAAGGACTTGAATAGACATTTCACCAGAAGACATTCAAATGGCTAAACACATTAAAGGATGCTCAATGTCATTAACCATCAGAAACGCAAATCAAAACCCCAATGAGATACCATTTCACTCCCACTAGGATGGAGAACATATAAAAAAAAAGAAAATAACAAGTGTTGGAGAGAATGTGGGGAACTGGAACCCTTATCCACTGCTGGTGGGAATGCAAAATGGTACAGCCTTTGTGGAAAACAGTGTGATGGTTCCTCAAAAAACTAAAAATAGAACTACTATATAACCCAACAATTTCACTCCTAGGTATATACCAAAAGACTTGAAAGCAGAGACTCAAAAAGAGACACGTATACCAATGTTCACTGCAGCACTATTCACCATAGCCAAAAGGTGGAAACAACCTAAATGCCCATCAACAGAAGAATGGATAAACAAAATGTGGTACATACATACATTGGAATACTACTCAGCCAGTAGGAGAAATGAAGTTTTGATACATGTTACAGTATGGATGGAGCTTAAAGACATTATGCTGAGCAAAATAAGTCAATCACAAAAGGACAAATATTGTTATGACCTCACTTACGTAAAAAGACAAGAAAAGGCAAATGTATAGAGGCAAAGGTTATTAGTGGTTACCAGGGGCAGGAGGGACGGGGGAAAAGGGAGGTTAACAGTGATGGAAAAATTGCACTGATTAACGATAAGGTTGCACAGCTGATTATTGTAATTGCTCTCAGTAAAAAGCTGAATTGGCAAAATTTGTGTGATAGATATATTTACAACAATGACAAAAAGAGTAGCTGCTGAGGCTGCTTATGTACAACCAAACACCTCATGGGGTTTAGTTCCTTGGTTTGGAGGTTTAGGGTTATGGTTTACTGGGACATTCCAGTTAACTGGCCTAATGATGTGTTCAGTGCTTCTGTTTGCTGCATAGTGTCTGGGGTCTTAGAAGCTTGCGAGCAGCCATCCAGGGCACAATAAATGGTCTCTATTCACCTGGAGCAACAGAGGAAGAAACAGAGTCAGGAACAGGAGGAGGATGTAGAATGTGTCGCTAGTTGCCTCCATGACCAACTGCCTCCTTTGCCATGAGACCAGAAGAACTGGATGCTGACCGGCTACCATTACTGAATATTTTGATCAAAGATTCCAGAGAAGAATCCTTATCAAAAGGAGGGAAATGGAGAATTTCAAATTATCATGGATTCTAGACTCTCTGGAGCCATGGAGAATGAACGTACTCCTGAAACTATTGCCCTGAGATAGCTTAAACCAAAGATATCCCATGAAGTCATCTTAAAACTGAGTAATAGTTAAGCTTAATTAGTAAAATAAAGGTCTGCCTTGAGCATTATGCCCCTTTAAGAACTATCTATATGGGATCAAATTGACAATAGCAACTGGAAAGATTAGACCGGAACCTTAAGGAGTACTGAGTTTACCTTAATGGAGGAGGAACAACTCAGAAAAGGAAGGTGAGAATGGTTATACAACTCAAAGAATGTAATTGATGTCACTAAACTGTAAATACAGAAACTGTTGAATTGGTGTATGTTTTGCTATGTATATTCTCAACAAAAACAAAATAGAATTTAGGAGAAAAATAAAAGCAAAAAATATATGGGTGGCTAAACAAAGTGAATGACTAGTAAGAATACAAATATTTTTTCTTTCAAGTAACACTTCAAAAATTACGAGACAGTACTAATACCAGGAGCTTGAGGATTATTCAAATGTTTAAAGGAAAGGGTAAAGAACATAATTTCATAATGCAAAACATCACAAACAATACAAATTAGGTTAAAAATAAGTTAC